CTTTTTATTTTTTGTTAGAAAATGGATATATGATGTCAGATCTACTAGATTTAGGCAAAATTCAGTTGAAAACGAGTTAAAATACAGTAAAAACGAGCTAAAAAGTGGCTGGCCGCTATTGTTAGGGTTGGAGAGAAGCTTGGTCTTGTGGAGAAGATGAAGAATAAATTATGATTTTATCCTTTATTGAATAAATCTACCATTACTATAAATAATTATACCACATATTATAAATCTACTACTACCACGACTATAAATAAATCTACCACATATTATAAATTTACCACTACTATAAATAAATCTACCACTACTATAAACAAGTCTACCATCTCAAGGTTATTTTAGTAAAGAAGTGAAAAGATTGAATAAATCTACCACTACAGTAAATAAGTCTACCACATATTATAACTCTACCACTAGTATAAATAAGTCTACGATTGCGCGAATCATCAATAAGTCTACCGATCACAAAATTAACTCTACCACTACTGCTAATAAGTCTATCACTCCAAAATCAATCTACCACTACTGTAAATAAGTCTACCATTGCGCGAATCATCAATAAGTCTACCGATCACAAAATTAACTCTACCACTACTGCTAATAAGTCTATCACTCTAAAATAAATCTACCACTACTGTAAATAAGTCTACCATTGCGCAAACTATCAATAAGTCTACCGATCACAAACTTAACTCTACCACTACTAGAAATATGTCTACCGATTACAAAATTAACTCTATCACTACTACAAATAATTCTACCACAATATTATAAATCTACCACTTCTATAAATAAGTCTACCATCGTGCCAACCATCAGTAAGTCTACCAACCACTTAATAAATATATCACTCGTAAATAAATCTATCATCATATGAACGGTAGACTTATTCGCTTTTGGCGGAAAAATTTTGCTGCCTCATTAATGACAATTTCGTAAATATATTTTTTGTTTTTAAAAAAATAAGGATAAAACAAATATAATAAATCTTTCAAGATTATTTGAATAATATTTAAAGAAAAACATTATTTTGATCAAAAACCAACTTTTCTAAGGTTGTTTTTGTACAGCTCCCTAAAAAATATATAAAACAATAGAAAATATTTGAATGCCAAAAAAAATCCAAACGTAAGCGAACGAAATTTTTTTATTTTTTTTTACATCAAGCGAACCAATTTAGATAAGATTTTTCAAATTATAAACATTGATAAATTCCAATTACTTTCTAGTATTCGCGTAACGAATAAGATGCGGAATGGATTAATGGACCAGCCATGTCCTCCCATATGCACGTCGGTAGACTGTAGTATTCCCCTGCATCGCGGTACACTATAAACCCCTGATTGACATAATCAAACTCGAAGATCTTTTGTCTCCAATTAAATATTATATTTTCGAGTGAAGTTTTGGTTCACGGTTTGATTTTGATTTGGTTTTTTGGCTTTTCTGAATTGTAAAATCATGAAAAACAAATTATATAGTGATGATTTATTAGTTAATTAACATGTTTGTGAAAACTGGAATTCGAGTGTATATATGTATGTACGTTTCCTAAAGTGATGATCTATCATTTATAGTTGCAAAATACAACCACCTTTCGTATCATTTTTAGAGTTTTGATTTTAATATAATGTTGTAATGTACAGTACATACAAGAAAAACAAGAAGTAAATTAGGGTAAAGTATTCTCACCTCGCGTTAATTAATTCCAATAAACATTTGGAGCCTCCAACATAAATGAATGGGCCTAAGCCCGTGAAATTTGTAATTGAACATTCGTAATAGTGATTTTCAACAATCTCTTGAAACAAAACTTTGACATGGATGTGTGTTTGAGCGGTCGAACATGACACGTGTCGAAAGGTGAGTAGTGGAAGGAGAATGAAGAAGCGTGTCTAATTAGTCGACAGCTGTTGAGAAAGTCAAACCTCCGCCTCGCATGTTTGTGAGTTAATTTGACTTATTGACCATTCAAAGCATGCTTGACTTTTATCGACACAAAAAAAAGATTATACTACTAATTTAAATACGTTAAAACCAAAACG